AAAAATAACACACACACAATTACGAAAAAAACAAATTCCAAATATGAAATTTAAAAAAAAAGTAAATATTGTTTCTGTGCCATGCCAATATTGAAATAACTAAAATTTACATTTTTTTTTCTAGCATTATTTGCTAAGGTCTGTGTCTATCTGTAAAGAAACTGAAAATAAAGACGAGTAAGAGATGGTGGAAGTAGTGGCTACTGCAATTTATATCAAAGCAATTTCGTCGGCGACCTCTCACGAAGTATCCTTGCCATTCGTCGGGTAATATGACACTATTTTCTAGACATCCGAGTTAAGTTGAAGGTTGTTTTTCTTCAACATATGCCTCCAACAATAAGAAAAGCTAACTCAGCCTTCTACTTTAAAGACTAGTAAGGCCCACTGATATTGTGATATTTTTGTACAAAACCAAACAAAAATTATAATAGTTATGTTAGACAAACAGATTGGCTTTCAAGATTTTTTTATTCCAGTAAAGAATTAAAATTTTTAAAACAAAAGATGGTGATTTTTTTAAGTAAGGTAATGGTTTTCAAATCAGTTTTTGATGTCGTATCATTTGAATTTCGCCTAGTACTTCTTAAAACTGCTTATAATATAGCAAGATATATTATTTTGTAGTGTAACTAAAGAATTAACATAAATATACCGTTACCAGCTAAGTCGGTACACATTGCTTGCGGTTTAGGGCAGCTGCTCTCAAAAGTTTTCAGCTTTGCTTATCTAAAGTCTTTTTAAAAACTACTTCGAAATAAAAACACGCTCTCCTTCTATCAATGTGAAATATTTATCATCATAATAGTTCCTGAATCACAATCTAGAAATAATACATGTAAATTGATATTCCAATTTAATACAGATCACCGATTTATAGCTAAAAGAATCTAATATGCTATGCTTCTTTAGCGAGTCGTCCTTACCTACGATATATGTGTAATTAGCTGTCGCCCGCAATTCCGTCCGCGCGGAATTAAAAACTTAATTAATAGCCTATGTGTTCATCCAGACTATGTTCTACATCTGTGAAAATTTCATCAAGATCCGTTCCAGAGATACCTTCAAACATCCATCCATCTAAACTTTCGTTTTTATTATATTAGTAAGAGTAAGATTAGTACTCAAATGAAGTAAGTAGTGCTCGGGAAATGTAGAGGCGTCTGGTGAAACGTGTCACGATACTTACTTGATGACCACGACCAGTCTGTAAAGATTGAAGCGACTGTGAAGAAGTAGTCAAATATTTTGTTAAATTTCTTTATTTGTATTGCCTCTATTTATGTATTTTACTTAAGAACATGATCAGAACTTAACACATAAAAGAAGAAAGCGTCACAAAGTACATTACCTCGGACAATGAAGCATTGAAACTCAATACAAAAGCTTTACCACTTCACTAAGCAATAAAGACATTTTCATTCGCTGTCACGTCTAAGTTGTTACTATCGGACTGTAATTGAATTGGGAGTATATCCCTCACAGGCGAGCCCTTCGAACGTATCGGGCTAAGCGAGCGATATAACTACGTTCCTATTCGGACACCATGCTTAACTCAAAAAAAGGGATAATAGACAATCAGGAAAACTGTTTTTTTTTTAATGTAAACTATGTACGTCTTATGTTAGCAGAAAAATACAAATTGGTTGGGTATGTAGTTATTCATTCTGAAAACTACGCTTCAAATGTGGAGTAATGAATTATAGGTAAGAAGTAGAGTAATAAACGTTAGTTATTTTATTTATCTTATTTTTATAAGTTAATATTCCATGTTAACTTATAAAAATAAACTAGCTGTAGCCCGCGACTCCGTACGTGCGGTATTAAAAAAAACTTTATTAGTTCTTCCAGACTATGTTCTACGTCTATGTCAAATTTCAGCGAGAGCCATACAGCCGTTCTCGAAATACCTTCAAAATAACATCCACTCCTCCATCCAAAGATTCGGATTTATAATATTAGTAAGACATGTGCAAAAATCGTTCATTCTATTTGCGAATCCTTTTATATTTTCTGTTAAAAAAATCCATTTAACGTACCACTTTATTATTAATAATATGATAAGACGAAGGCTTTCTCGAAACGTCGTTATCGGATCAAAAATTACTTTGATGTCGATATTAGAACTGGATCAAAGAATTCGTTATAAAATTGAAGTTTCTCAGTAAGCATTTATATAAAAAGACAAGTAATTTATAATGAACATATAAATATTGTAGGCATTTTAAATTATATTATGTATTTTAAGTAAACTAGAGATTATCTCTCTTATTTTCCTAGTGAACGGTGATAAATACTCAAAATAAACCAAGATCACATAACTAGGGAGAAAAGATTGCAAGTAAACTTTTCCTTTCAAGTAATGTAAATTAATATAATTACGTAAATTATTCAGAAAATAGCTGTCAGTCACGACTCCGTCCGCGTGGAATTAAAAAAAACTATGTGTTCTTCCAGATTACGTTCTACATCGCTGGGGCGTTTCGGAGATACCTTTAAACAAACATCTATCCATCTATCTAAACTGTCGCAGTTATAATATTATTAAGATTTCTAAGAAGATCTTGTGAAAATTTCTTTTTTAATAAGAATCTGAAATAACAAGATAGGTGGAGACCCTAAGTGGTCGTAGGCGTTATTTTGTTGATCAACAATTTAATTTGCCTTCAAGCTCTTATCCCTAATAACGCAATTACCTCAACATAAATTTCCCTTAAATTTATAAAAGCCCTTTTACGTCGTGTTATCAAAGCAACAGTGTTGTTATTAAGTTGTAAGTACCCTTTGTACTTAAGTCGCGTTACATCAAAGCTTAAAAGAACGCAATTGCGATAGAGGAGGCTTAATAAACAAAAACTTATTAAAATTATTATTATAATTATAATTAGAAAAGCAAAATATATTTTATTTATGAATTACGTACATTGTAATCATGTATATGAATAATACTACGAAATATGAGGTTTAAAATTAATTCTTTAACCCTCTCAATTCGTCGAAATTTTTTGTAGAAAAAAAATTTTTTTTTAGTAAAGCCATACTTACGTAATTTTCTCTATACTAGTTCAGTAGATTTTTTTTAATTAGTTGTTCGTCACACTAGACACCATCGAATTAAGTAAATTAACTATTTTTTTTAACTATTATTCTAATAGTAAGACTAACTATTTTAATAGTAAGATTCGAACCCACGAGTCGAGATCATTTGTCCAAACCTTTAACCATAAGTCTGTTAATTGATGTTCGATAATGAATAAATGATTCGGTTATTTTTGGTGCAAATGAACGAAGAGGTTCGCGAGCAAATATCATTATAAGCTTTCCCGGAATTTTTATTATCAACTTCGCTCAATTCCACTGAAAGCATCATGAAATTATGTTTGTTAATTATACGCTGCCTTTGTTAATTTTCTCATATAGGTAGTTGTTGATTGGGTTTCATCATTGACATCATAATTTGCTTTATGTATTATTAAATGAATGCATGAATGAGTAAAAAGACAAATTAATTTTATTAAAGTAACATGGTAATTGATAGAGAACTTTCTAAACAAGATTATATAAACAGTATTTAGGTTATTTGCAATTTTTAAAGACGGAAATAATAAAGGAAATTTACTAAGTATACAAATCTGCTACATAGAGTATAAACTAGCTGCTTTCTTTTTATTTTTCTAAGCGTTTTAAGAAGGCAAAGTCTTTTATTTCTTCCCTAATTGAATATGTCGCTTTTGCCCTTTAGATTCGTAGATATAAAGGTTAATTACTCTGCTCATCAATCTCAATTCGTTTTATCTTTGACTGACCATAATCCCCGCTCGTTTAGATTTAACAATTTCTCATATAAAAGAAGTCATGATGTGAAGGTTAATTACCTTTGGGTGTTTTTTTAAAATCAATAAATCGTAAATGTTTTTGGATATTTAAGTCTATTGTTCTACACAAATAATTATTGAATTACATTTAAGGGAAGTCCTCTTCTACTTCCCATTTTTTCCTTATAAGAAAAAGGGTGGGAAGGGAAAGAGGACTAAATTAGGTCTACGGGACGCACACTCATCAGACGAAACTTAGGATTGCTTCCACTTCACGCCTGTCTTCTGTGTGGTCGTAGTATTTCACTGAGCGAGCCGGGCCAATTCGTGCGAAGATGTTAAAGCGGGCTCTACCACTGTTCCTTTCTTTTGAATTCACGATAAATCGAGAAGGATGTGAAACTGTGTTGCCGGGAAAGGCGCGGTAGAACAGGAAAACCATCCTATAAATAAGTTTCTCGATCAATAATGAAACAATGGATTAATCTGTTTGTGTGGGGGACGTCTCGTATAAGACAATAAATATTTCATTCCATTTTCTTTTCCCCCAAACGAATTAATCACTTTCCAGTAAATAGAGCTCTATTTTACTCGTACAAGGTTCTTTGGATTATCAAAGATAGAAGCGAATGAGAACATGACCCAGAGAAATATGCATGAAATATGAAATATATAACACGAGTAGACTTTCGAAAATCATCATAGCTTTAAGAATATAATTGGATATTTAATAGAGAAAACGTTTAATGTAATTTACTGAAATTCTAAAATATACTTACTCCTATAGAAAGTTATCCGATCAATAACTTGATCTAATTCTTTGTCTAGTTATCTGAACTTTTCTTGGGTGTGTTGCCGCCTATGTGAAAGTTACCTAATTTACAGCTAAGTATAGAGGCTGGTCGAGAATAAATAGGCAAACAATCTGATATTATACTTCTTTGAAATAGCTTTAAAAATATATTTCAAACTGTATATTATTTTTCCTTTCATCGTAATGTTAGCTTTTGTTTAATTCACGAAATAACCGTGACTCACTTGTTTTTCCATAATACAGATTTTCCATTACGTTGGTAGAGAGGATGTTTACTATCATATATCTTAATTTGACCTACTTTGTGACGAATTCCCATTTATATGTATGTTTTGTGATGTTTTTATAACAAATATATCATTTTGTTACAGGTACAAACTATACCAATCATAATATGACAAATATTTTATAATTTAAAACTAAATTCGTATAATATTCTTCCATAAGTATTTGTGAAATCTCAGTGTAAAATAACTTTATATTTACAACAATAGATTAAAAATCAAACGGTGTTTAAAAAGTGCACAGAAAAATGACAGTGTATTAATCGCGTTTATTCTCGCCATAGACAATTAAATCAATAGTAATATAAAATATCATAATGTCGTCGCGTACTGGTCAACGTGGTACATCGGTGGCGACCAGTCAGAGGAAGTACCGCTCCCGGTCTGCCCCGCGGTACGACATGGAGAAGAAGGCAAAGAAAAAGGATTTACGCACATCAGGGACTAACAGCCTGGTATCGATACCCAACAGCATGAAACTCATCATGCTCAACAGTGGCCTCATCTCATTTGGTATGTATATACTGTGTATATCTATAGTCATTACTTACATTTAGATCAGTAAGAACACTTTTTTCTGTTAACATCTGCTTACTAGCATTTAAAAGATACTGCGCAAATTCTACAGTTTAGTCATCACTTTAGCATTAGCTAATGTCTATAGATAGATATTAGTACCTACTATTGTTATAGATGTTTTTAGGTTATCAAAATACTTGTTATTACTTTTTTCAAATATCTTGACGGCTCAAGGCCATCGGCGTGCTGCGCAGTGCCCTCTTCACACATCCCGCAACGCCCCTCTACACCTAAAATTGTGTTCTGCGCAGCGACTCGCGCGAATTTTAGAGCTACCAAGATGTTTGAAAACAATAATAATAAGTCGATGGTAGAAATGACAATATAAGCTTATTGAAGATACTGAGTCTTGTGTTATAAGAAGTTGATTTAACTTTGTAATAGTTATCTTGGGACTCGGGATTGTGTCCTCTAGGGCATAGTTATCGTTATAATAAGAAGATTTTCATGTTCCGTTTACAACTAAACATCTTTCTTATTACTTCGTATATTAAATCCACACTAAGTTCTATCTCTCCTTATAATCCTAGTAGGTGCACTTCTGATATTGTCTATTAATATTCCATCTGTTTTCATCTTGAAGAAAACGGATTCAAGTACCTACTAGATGTGCACGGACTTAAAATAGCCGCGTTCCAGATGTAGGCAGAATTTTCCATTACGCTGCACCGCATCCAAACGTCACTAACTGTATTAGATTTGATATAGTAAGAGGAATACAAATTAAACTGATAAATGTTGGATACATTTCAAATTGTATAGTGCCAATAAATATCATACAATATTTTAGTCAACTTTACTAAAACCCAGAATTTAAATTAATTGTAAAATTTAAAAAAAACAGTGTAATTTTACACAAACTATCAAAATTTTTTTTCACAAAAATGTTCCTACAGAGATATGTTTGCATTTTTTCAATAAAGCTTTACGCCGTTGATATCAATTTGAGCTTTTAGTAAAAAATTAGTCATATATATTATAGTCACATATATTTAAAACATGTACAAATCAAAATTAATAAATTTTAAAAAACTGTCCCCGAAATCATTAAAATAAAAAAATCTTTTGCAAATTGCAAAATACCATAAAAGCATCTAAGATAAAAACTGAACAAAGAAAACTGAAGTGTTTACGTCTCTGCTATCTGGAAACTTCGAGAAGTATTGAGGTGGCCACTTGTATGCGCTTTCAAAGAAATAAATCTGTTTTCAGCGCCTTGAATCGAGTTCATAGCAATAAAATAGCCCTTCAATACTGCTAGCCTTGCTAACATCAAGAATTCGAATTAAAAAGTTATAAATTCAAGGAGGTTGTATGAATGAGTTTCAATTAGTTTCTTACAATGAAATCTTTTAGTGAGTTTCAGTGACCCTTGCGAGATATCTTATTATATTAACATTTACTCGAAATGTGTCAAGTTTTATGCAGCAAAATAATAAACCACTTCCACTCTCAAAATATTCCGCGCAGTTAAATAATTAAAAACGAAGAGCAATTTCATTTGAACGATACGTCAAGATGTTATCTTTTTAAATGTAAAAATAAACACGAATAATATTTATATTTTGCAAATTTTCTCTTTGAGTTCGCTGGTGCTATATTTAATGGAAGCGCTTTTGAATTTTATATAAAATTAATAAATTGAAATTTATAATGATACCAACTGGTCCCGTACTGCGCTGAAATGCGTCAATATGTCCTCACCGAGAAGCCTCTCGGCCTAGAGCCTACCCAAATAGAATGACTAGGTATTAGTCAATAAATTCCAAAATATGTGTGAATTTAACCAACATACACTGGGCCAGCGTGGTTGACTAAGACCTATGTAATGCCAAAAACAAATAACGCCAATTTTTTTTTTACATTTAGGGTTCCTTCTTCATAAAGCTTAACCAGTCATATCACAGTATTGCTTAGGCAATATAAATGCAAAGAATGATTGGTTGGACGTTTGATTTCACGTAATTCTAAAACCGTTTATCTGATCAAGTTAAAATTTGAATTTGGGTTAGATGATGAGCAGGACAAGCGCATGGGCTACTAATTAAGATTTATTTTAAACTGAATAGTCTTCAAAAAATCTTTACGACGATGTAGCATTTTCGTAGGCTTGTAAATACTAGCATAATTTAATTTATTAGCGAATCCATAAATTAACTCTCTTAATTTTTAATAAATTTTGTAATGTAACGTACGGAAAATTTGTTCGTAATTAAATTAACGAGGGCATGTTTTCTTTGCGCTCAATTTACCGCACATATACGTGTTCATAAACGAACATTAATAACAAATTTATAATGGGTTTAACGATGTATTTGGTAACAGGCGTTGAAGCTAAGTGGATCTTTCCGAGTATATAGTACACTTTTATTTTTTCAAATATTATGGTAGCCGAAGGCCACGAGTACGCTGCGCAGTGCCCTTTCCCGCATACCGCTACGCCCCGCCCCGTTAACTTAAAATGGTGTTCTGAGCAGCGACTCGTGCGTAGTTCTGAGCCTCCAAGATATGTCATAACTACTAAACCTCTACACCTGACAAGGATAATAATACGATAAAGAAACCACAATACTAGTTTCACTACGCGTTCACCGCTTGCTCGCATTCCTCAATTAATTAAGATAATCAGACATAACAGTAATAATACTTTCAAACGGCGACGTGAATAAAGAAAAACGATCGCACGACTGATAGGTGATTGCAACCGACTACCCTTTCCGCAGTATCCGGAGCAGTCCAGCGAAAGTTTTCCAATTATCCACATGTACGAGGAGACCACAAAAGAAATACCGTTAACCCATATTTAGCTGGTACATATGACGATGACACATGGAACTCTACGTCAGTTTCACAAAAAACGTTTGAAATTCTATAAAGAATTCATTAAACATTAGGGAGTAAAACATCTTATATTTTCTTAATTTTATCTTAATAATAGACATCTCGGCGAGCTTAATTAGCAGGTGCTCAGAACGACTTCCTGACTCTTTGTCGCTTGTTAACCGTCGCGTTGAGCGTTAATTTGCAACTGACACCGGCCCCTTTGTAAGAAATGTTCTGGGGAAGACACCTTTGAAATATAATTATTAGAAGAATAAGTTATCTTATTGTGTCAATAGGAAACAGACTGAAAGTATCAATTAACTTGGGGATACCCTTTGTTATTTAACGACGCAAATATAAATAAAATGCTGGTGGTAACATTGTTCTATAGTTTTTTGACTGAATGCATAAAAGATACATGTATAGTCGCAATGCAATAGAAATAAGAAATTATAATGAGAGATCTCAGCGGTTGTCATTTTTTGTTTACTAGCTGTCGCCGGCGACTCCGTCAGCGCGGAATTAAAAAAACTTAATTAGTAGCCTATGTTTTCTTCCAGACTATGTTCTACATCTATACCAAATGTCATCGAAATCCGCTCACCTGTTCTGAAGATACCTTCAAATAAACATCCATCCAAACATTCACATTTATAATATTAGTAAGAAGTAAGATTAGTAAGATGGATTTATTTAGGAAAATTTAATTAGACTATACAAATATGTCTTTTTTTAATAAGTTTATGATTACAGTTTTATAAAGTAAAATTGTTTAAATGCATTTGTTGTAATTTCTCATGTCCATTAAATTCGATTGTAGGTGATATATTTTTAAGATGTCATTTTGTAGTAAATATAAGTTGTAAACGTAACATTTTTGTCAAACATTTGAAATATATGAATGAAATTATTTTGTCATCCTTGATTAATATTCAAATTAAATAAGAGTAATTAAAAATATACATTTAAGGTTATTTATAAATTAATAATGTAGTATAAAATTGTTTTATAAAAACAAACTGGAGAACGTACTATAACCGGGTCAAGAGAATAACAAAAGAAAACCGAGATTGAAACACGGAGTATACTCGTAGTTTTCTAGAAACGTGTGGAAAAATACGATTTAATTTAATTTTAAATTCTATTTGAATCAAAATAAGGATCTTAATACGCCGTTCTGTCGTAGTTCTACGACCTGAAGCTTTAAACATCATTAATACTATTGAGAAATTTTACAAAAAATTGAACTCGTAACTTTCTCCCAATTTGTGTAGGACAGTTATACGTATCTGTTCCAGCCTTACTAATAATATAAATGCGAAAGTAACTCTGTATGTCTGGCTGTCTGCCTTTCTGTCCTTCTTTCACGCAAAAACTACTAAACTGATGTACATATATGAAATTTGGTACTCAGATAGTGTAGAGCATGGGGAAGGACATATGCTATTTTTTAACGCGAAAAAGGGGTTGTAAGTCGTTCAAAATGGGGGTGGAATTATATGGAAATATCGTCGTTTTTATTTTATATAATTCTTCAAATGTTAAATTAATCTATAGCCCGTATTAAAATTCTGAAGATAAGAAGCGCTTTTAAAATAAAGAAAGGAATTTTCTCGCGTGTTGATTTTAGCTAAAAGGGTCTGTTAGGAAGGAGTAAGGACATTTCAAAGACGGTTCTCTCCACAACGCGCCAGTCGGCTTCTTTTACAAATGACCCACAAAAGCAACAAAACACAAACAAAAAGGAAGCACCAAGTACTTCTTTTATCTTTGCCAATTAGCTTGTTTCGTCCTTTTCATTTAAAAATCTATATATAAAAAATATATATATAAATTCAAGCTGTTGGTTTTTCAGACAAAACTCATCTTTTATAATTTAATTTTTAATATCTATCAAAATTTTTCTTATATAAATATGTATAAATCAATTGCTGTTCGTTTGTCTCGCTAAAACTAGCGAACGGCTCAACAGATTTATCTTATCTTGGCTTTGGAATGTTCGTTGAGGTCTAAGGAAGTTTTAAAAGGTGAGAAAAATTCGAATATTGCCGGGAACTAATTAATTTTTATTTTCATTCCACGCGGACGAAGTCGCAAGCGACAGCTAAAAT